AACAACTTTGTGACCCCGTACATCCATTTCACGCAGCTCACTTAAGGATTAACCTGCAGAAACCAAACATTTGCTCAAACAAGACTTCCTACACATCTAAAACCTACAAACAACAATTATTGAATTCTAGGTACTTAACCAAACATTTTCAAACCAAAAGGAGTATATGTTAACAAAACTGCATTTGACTTACCAATTAACAATGGACACTTTCATAACGCGGATGCAGGTAGGCAGCATCTCGAATATATTGCTCTAGCCATATAATGCCGAAACCACAAGCCTACTGCAGCTCTATCTCTATCGGTGGGAGGTAAAAACTCTGTGCTTCCCGTCGTCAAACGCGCCAAGCAAAGGCATACGAGAGGACCACAATCCCTCTGGCTCCCAACGATTGCTGTGGCGCGGTCTCGTCTCTGACAACTGTGACATTGAACTTCTTTGGCTTCTTGTGTCCAGAATGACTCCAATACTTAATCCCATCCAAGAATTTAGCCAAATGAGAGCTCCATCCCTTGAAAATATCTCTCAAATCAGACAGTGATATGTAATTGATCATGCTGTCATACACTATTATCTTCAGGGATGGGAGCTGAAGTTGGACGAGAAGCCAGTGACGACGTTCCAAAACAGGGATAAACACCTGCGATCATAAGTAATAATTCATTTATTTGCGCACTTATTTATGAACACCTTTAAAAATTTAAAAAAAAACACTAACCTTATCGACCTCCCACCATGCATGATAAAGTTTAGCTTGTCCATTGCCCAACAAAAATGATTCATCTCGTTGATTCTTCAAGTGAACTGCGTGAAAAGCCGTCGGCATTATTGTATATAGCGAATTTTTTTATTTTTCCTAAGCTTCCTTATTATTAGTAGACGTGACACCCACGCATCGATATGCTGTTTTATAAAAAAATACATATATTAGTGAATTACATTAATTTTTAAACAAATTAATCAAAATCATATATAAGACAAATATAAGACTTACCTCCCCATCCAAATAGCCATTGTCTTCAACCCCTAATAGCACACCCCACCAAGACCGATCAAGCAACAAAAACATTTCATCGTTGAGTTTGCTGATGTCAGTGTAACACCCTTGGCTCCTCTCATGTAGATAAAAATCAACTGCGGTCTTAGCCCAAAGGGTATTATCCACAATTGTATCCGGTAGTTGTCTCCTCTCCACTTCAGATACCGGAAGGGTACTAGCCGGTAACTCATACGAGAGCCAACTCTCATCCATCATGTCCGGAACCGGTGGGGGTTTCTCAATACTTCGATATATTACCCCATGTGAATCGGGCTCTGGAATGGTGGGAGGGACCTCTTTAACGATGACAGTGGCCTCTTGAACGGTGGGGGGAATCTTGAGGGAGAATAGGGGCCTCTTGAACGATTGGAGGGGACTCTTGAGGGATGACCGGTGAGTCGGGCTTCTTCTTGCGGAGTCTTCGCACCATTGGGGTGAACGGAGACGTAATAGCACGTCCACGCCGTCTGATGCGTGAACTCCGTCGTGCAAGGAAAACCCGACGTAAAGCATCCACCTTATCGGGCCGCTAAAAAAAATTAATACATAAATCAGTAAATAAACAGACATGATATTAAACAAAGACAAATATATTTCAAACTAGCATTGTATTCACCCAAATCATTATTCTATCATAGTTCACAAAATGCTCAGATAACATTCCAGAAGTAAGCACTTATATAAACATTTAAAAGGACAACATATATAAACATTCCAGAAGAAGAATAGTTTACTTTTGCAACACGAAACTTAAAATCGCAACGCGAAATGACTATCGCAACGCGGAAATGGCTATCGCAATGTGAAATGAAAATCGCAACGACAAAATCGCAACGCGAAACACAAATCGCATTGCGATTTTCATTTCGCGTTGCGATTTTGTCGTTGCGATTTCATTTCGCGTTGCGATTTTGTCGTTTCGATTTTCATTTCGCATTGCGATAGCCATTTCCGCGTTGCGATAGTCATTTTCGTGTTGCGAAAGTAAACTATTCTTCTTCTGCAAATTGAAACTTGAATGGATTGCATTACTTCAACCAAAAGACAAAAACAAAACCAAAAACAAATACTAACAAAACAGTTTAGCAGTATTGGCAGCAACCGAATGAATTACGAGTATGAAAAATCTTAAACTTACCTCGTTGCGTAGAGTATGAACCTCATTCTGCAACGATGCTACCATCTCACGTAGAGCGGCTACCTCACCGCGTAATGTAGACACCTCAACACGCCATGCACCATCTTCTTTGCGTAAAGTACCGACCTCCTCACGCAAGGCATTGACCTCATCACGTAACTCCCCTAACTCATCCCGTTGAGGTGGAGGTGGAGAACAGGGAGATAAACGTCGTGGCATCTTTGCCGGTCGCCTATCTTGCGGTGATGGTGGAGAAGAGGCTCGATGATGTGACAGAATAGGTGATGGCTGTCGTTGTGGAGGTGTATAGCCGGGTCGATCAGATGATGGCTCTGGGTGAGGTGATAGCTCTGGGCGAGGTGATGGCTTCCGAAGTGGAGGCTGCTCATCAACCGTTCCATCAAAAAAACGCTTTCTAGCTTGCCACCAATCAGTGGCAAGCTCAGCTTCCGTGGGTGTCAGCCTCTGTAGAGGAGTGTTGGCCTCCTAACAATATAAAAGCTCAAACAAAGTTAAACGTGTACTAGTAATAACTTGTTTATAAACATATGGTAGTATTTATGTTAACTTACATTATTTATTGTCGTATACCGTAGTAAATCTTCCCATTGCAAGGTCCATTTCCTCTTCCAGGAAATAGCCCTGGGAATATCATTTGAAGTTTTTATTGCATATGTCTTCATGGCGGGAAAGGCCTCAAATATCCAAATCTACAAACAATATAATAACAAACATTAGTAATTGTTAAATAATTACTTATAATTTTGGAAACATCATATAAAAATTCTTACCTTAAAGGCCCAAATAAAGCCTGTCAAAGTGTATTTGGAACCATCGCCATACAAACTTTTTCGATCATCCAAGGCAGACGATAACTTATTCCATGTAGCTTTCCATAAATACGAGCCCCACGGAAACAGGTTCCACGCATTTAGGTCTTCTACCAATTTGATTAGATCATTTGGAATAGGTTGTCTGGCCTTTCTGCCTAAAAAGCCGGCATGCAAAAGAATTAGAAGGCATACTCGGACAACGTCGACATCATCCATCCGAGTAAAACCATCTTTATTATTCAAAAATCTTGTCAGGTCTTCTACGTGTAGACTCGGCCTCTCCAGCTCAGGAAAAACCCGGGATAGCCATGATGGGCGGGTAATGTGTCTAGTGTACCGACCTACATCATCGTGTCCGAAGCGTAGACCGGTGATTAAGCAAAACTCCTCCCGCCCAAAACACGTATATGCCGGTGGAAAATCAAACCATATCTCTTCATCACGACGTTGTATAGTCTCTGGTAGATCGCTAGTCATGGTTTGAAGAAACAGGTGTGTCAACATCGCATCTCCACCGGGATGTTGTACTTTCAGCCATGGCCCGAAGCATGTATCCTCAAACATTTTTCTTTGTGCAGGTGAAAGCTTCGACGCAATTGTTTTGGCCAGGCTGACTTTATTCTCAAGGTCAATTGAGCCGAATAAAAGTTCTACAAAACAATAAACATACTAAATTAGATATACCAAAAACTACACTGTGAAGATATACCAAAAACAATAATAAACATAAATAGTAGTAGTTTATTCTTCAAACTTAAATATGCAACACTGTGAATTTCGTATTTGTCTTTGTTTTTTGGTTGAAGTAATGCAATTCATTCAAGTTTCAATTTGCAGAAGAAGAATAGTTTCTGAAAATGAAAATCGCAACACGAAAATGAAAATCGCAACGCGAATTCGACTTTCGCAACGAGAGAATCGCAACGCGAAACTAAAATCGCGTTGCGATTTGCATTTCGCGTTGCGATTCTCGGTTGATTTAATAAGCAATCTAAGTGAAATGGTTAATCTATTATTGAAATTACCAGTAAACTTATCATCAATTTCAATATGAAAAACCTAATAATAATGCAAAAAATTCAAAAAGAAAATAATTAAAAAAACTAACCCTCGTTGGTTGATTTGGTTGATTTTCCATTTCTTATTGTGAGGGTGGCTCTGAGAGATGGAGATAGACGGATTTCGCCGGAGATGGGGACGAATTTCGTCGGAGATGGGTGAGAGAGTGAGAGATGGAGTTGAGACTGAGTTGTGATTTTAGGTTTTAGGTTATGAGTTGCGATTACGGGATATACTGTGGACAGTTCAGTGTTCCAATATATTAATATTCGTGTTTAGAATTTAAAAATAAAATACTTGGCCAGGATACTAATGGCGATTTGAAAATCGCATTGCGATTATGTATTATCGCGTTGCGAAAGTCAGTATCGCGTTGCGAAAGTAAGTATCTCGTTGCGATTTTTTATTATCGCATTGCGATAGTCAGTATCGCATTGCGATTTTCCCAATTCGCGTTGCGATTTACTTATTCGCATTGCGATTTTCTCAATTCGCGTTGCGATTTACTTATTCGCATTGCGAATTGGGAAAATCGCAACGATACTGTAGACCATCGCAACGCGATTTTCAACTATCGTATTGCGAAAATGCAACGCGAATTTGCGATAATGGAGATCGCGTTGCGAATTAGCAATCGCATTGCGATTTTGTTGGTCATTTTGGCAAATCCGGAAAAAATTGATTAAAATCGTATATTATATGAGATTTTTGGTCACTGAGTTTGTTTTTTTTTTTTTATAGAATGAAACGTTAAATAAAAAATATTCAAAGTAATGGAATGGAACGTTAAAATAATAATGAAATAAAACGTAGAATATTTAAAGTAAAAAAAAACTTTTAGATGCTTATTCTTATATGAAGTTATTTTTTATTAAAAATTAAAATTAAAAGAAACCGATACAATTCGGAAAAGAAATACAAAGATATATGGGAAGAAGCTGTTTCAAGTTTGAAGGAAGGAAGGAAGACAAATCCTTTTACCATCTAACAGTCAACAGCTTCAAATTCTAAAGTGTAAAGACTAAACTGGAAGCTCTTTCATCCAAACATCCCTCTCTATTGTTTTCCACAACTTTCCATTCCAATTAAACAGACTGTGCTAACAATAACTTCAATTATGTTCAATTTCTCTTCCTAAACCCCAAAGCTTCTCAAACAAGTAGAAGGAAATAAAACCCCATACCGGAATTCCCCACATGTCATCTTCATCCGAACCAACAACGCCAGATACTGACCCTCACGCGCCACTCCTCCGTCCCCTGCAGCCTGATGACTCGTCAGCTCGCGCCGACCCGCTGGCGATTTTGTTGGGTAGGGTCACGGGACGTCGTGGCGCGTCCATGCTGGTGAGGGAGACGGCAGCGCGTGAGCTGGAGGAGCGGCGGGCGGATTGGGGATACTCGAAGCCGGTTGTGGCTTTGGATATGTTGTGGAACACGGCGTTTGTGGTGGTGTCGGTGGTGATGTTGATCTGCACGGTGGATGAGAGGCCTAATACTCCTCTTAGACTGTGGATATGCGGGTATGCTTTGCAGTGCTTGGTGCATGTTGTTTTGGTTTGGTTGGAGTACAGGAGGAGGAACAGTAGAAGAACATCATTTGCTAGGGATGAGGAGAGAGGAGATGCTGCTGGAGATGCTAATGATAGCGAGGATGAGGAGAGAGGAGATGCTGCTGGAGATGCTAATGATAGCGAAGATGAATTAGATGGGATTGAAAGGAGCCCTTTTGATTCAAATCAATCAAGGTCGGTTGTTTTTACTTCGGTTTGAGTTTGACTTAAAAATTCATGAGGGTGTCTTATTCTTTTAAGCTAAATTCAATTTGGGTTTCCTTGGTTTAATTTGATGTTTTTTGAGTGGTTAATCATTTTTCAGTTGAATTTCGATATGAATTGAGGCTCTTTAAGTGCTAATTTGGATGAGGGTCAAGCTCAATTGGGATTCTGTTGGAGTTTGAGATGAATTAGATAAGGATTTGAGTATATGATCTTTATAGTTTTCTAAGGGAATTGAGAAGTTTTCTCTTTGGTGTTGTCATAGCATCTGAAAAGTAAGTGCTAATAACTTGAAAAGACTAACCATTGAGCTTTAGATAACGGTAGAATAACTTGTATTGAAGTGGTTAATAATTGTTTCAGTTGAATTTCGATATGAATCGAGGCCTTTTCTTAATAAGAAATTTGTATTGGAGCATGAAACTTGTGCTTTTTAAGTGCTATTTTGGATGAGGGTTCAGGCTCAATGGGGATTTTATTGGAGTTTGAGATGAATTAGACAAGGGTTTGAGTATGATCTTTATAGTTTTCTTGGGGGATTGAGAAGTTCTCTTTTTGGTGTTATCATAGCATCTGAAAAGTAAGTCAACATTGAGCTTTAGATATTGGTAGAATAACATGTATTGAAGTATAGAACCTTTTCCCTTTTATGACAGATGCAGAACATTGAGAAAATGGTGTGCCACGTTCGTTTGGGTTAATGATCAAATGGTTGAACATGATTTTTGAAGTAGTTAATAGATTGATGGAAGTCAATGACCTAACTGTAGAATTCCCTTTCAAGATGTGAGTGCCAAGTCTGGATTGTACGAACAAATTTGGTGCTATCTTTGAGGGAAAATTTAGTGTATTTTCCATCTTGATTTTGCTTTCTTTTTTTTTCTTCCTGTTTTAGAGACTATGATGTATGATATTTGAATTATTATTCTCGTTCTGACTTGGTGAATGGCAGTGCAACCAAACGATGTGAATCAGTTAATACCATGGCATTGTTTATTTGGTGGATAGTGGGCTTCTATTGGGTGGTTTCTGGTGGTGACATCCTTCTGCAAAGTGCACCACGTTTATACTGGTACGCCTTTAACTAATCTTGTTATTTGACAAGCAACTTATTTGTCGGTTTTGACATATTTGCAACATTATTAGCATACTTGACTTTGACCTGATGGAGAACAGAAATTCATGCACGAGATTTCTGCCTTGTATAACTAATGTTCAATATTATCTCCTTGAATCAATTTTAGCTCCCACATATGCGATATCTTTCCTTGTGCCATGAATAAAGTTGGTGTTTTCGGTTTAGCCAAAAGAGAAGTGGCAGAAAGCCTTTATCCGTTAGTTAACCATTTCAGATTTTCAAATATAGTTTCTATGTTTTGGCTTTTCTTGTTTGTGACGTGTGTTGTATTATGGTGTAGTCAAGAACGACTTCAGGATCTCTATCTCTGATATCTGCAGGTTGGCTGTGGTTTTTCTGGCATTTGACGTGTTCTTTGCGATCTTTTGTGTTGTTTTGGCGTGTTTGATTGGGATTGCTTTGTGTTGCTGCTTACCGTGCATCATTGCAATTCTTTATGCTGTTGCAGGACAGGTATGAAAAAAAAACACTTAATAGGTATACCTACTCACAAATTGGTCATAGCACGATGGCATCTTCATTTCTTTTGCTATTTGATTAGGAAGGTGCATCAGAAGCAGATCTCGGTATCCTTCCGAAATATAAATATCAAATTATAAACGTTGGTGAGAAGCCTTGTGTAGGGCAGGAAAAATGATTCCCATAGAAACAAGCAGTGGATATTTGGCAAACGAGTGCATACTCTTACCCGAGGATGCAGTAAGTTATGACTTTATCATGTAGTTACTGTATTTTTTTGCAATGTTGATCCATCACACATATTGTTGTCCTATTTGAGTTTTGTGCTTTTGTTTCGGATTTCCTTGGTGCCAATGTCTGTATTGAAACAATCCGACTCATTCGGTTGATTACTTCACTATCATCGTCCATTTTCTGTCTTCTTTGTAGGAATGTTGTATATGTCTAAGCTCATATGAAGATGGGGTGGACCTCCATGCTCTCCCATGCAACCACCATTTTCATTCAACGTGCATCGTGAAATGGCTGAAGATGAACGCAACATGCCCTCTTTGCAAGTACAATATTTTGAAGGGAGCCGAACAAGTATGAAAGAGAAAATAGAGACTCTCGAGTCCCGTCTGTCGGAACCCGATTCAGTTGTTTATATACTTTCTGCATATGTACAGTAGAAAAAACAAATCATGAAGAGCAGCACCCCTGGTTAAAAACCCTTAGCCTTTTCATTTTTCATTTGAACTGCCCTTTTGGAGTTAGACTTTGATGTTTTCTTTGGCCTCTCCGAAGTTGTTCATCATTCTCTTCATGAAAGAATGGATTGATTTTCATGCTTCAAATTTTGTCCGTTGTACTTTGCTTCATTATTGGTATAATGAAAATTTTAATGGGCTTCTTTTTCAATGCGTTAGGGTAGCTATTAATTTCAGGTCTAATTGTGAAATTCATCCCTATATTTATGAAAATTTGAGAAGTTAGTGTTTCTAATTTATCAATATTTGATCTTTGTACTTTACGATAAACGAAAAGTTGGTTCAATTAGGTAATGTGATCACGTATTATTCATTATATCGTCAACTTGGAAATCATTAGAGATTACTCGAATTGAGATTCATGGTTTTTAAAATAATGTCCTCTTCATATGACAACTTTTTTTATCCATGATCTAGGTTGGGGGTTCATTTGATCTTTGGTTGAAATAGAGGGGTTTATTTTAATGTAACTTTTTATTTTTATTTCAAATTTCTTAAGCTATAAGGATGCAATTCATAATTAGACCCTAACTTCAAGGATGATCAAGTTTTACTTGTAAAAGTTTTAGGATAAAGTATAATCAATAACCAGGTCTATGAATTTTGAGGTTTAGTCCTTTTATTGTGATGTGTGATCATATATATACATACTAACAACTAATTGGTTTAATGATGTAAGATATTAGATTACGTAAAATCAGTGATACGAAATTTGATATTACGAATAGAAAAAACTGAATTAAAAGAGTTATTCTCAAAGATGAATGCATGATTTTATCTTGGGAGCGAACTTATAAAATTTCAAAGGAAAAAATGTATAAAAAATTTCAATAAAAAATACACCGCAAAAAATCTAAAATATAGAAGAATTTAAAAATTTTAGGGATTGACTGTCTTGTCTCGCCCGTCCCCATTCAATCAATCCATGATTGTTCTTGTAAATGAGTATCTATAATATCTTATTTAAATTAGTTAATCAATAAATCAAATATTAATAATTAACCTTATAATATATATATATATATATATATATATATATATATATATTTTAAAAAATTAGGTGACAACATGATATGATTTATTGGTTGTATAATTTGAAAATGTCACATTATTAACCATAAGAAATTTAATACAGTGTTAATAAGGAAATTATCTTAAATTTTCGATCAAAATCCTTCATAACCATCACACAATTATTAATTTCATCGATTGAAAATATTGAAGTGGATTAGTCCATCGATTAAGACAGCGGATTAAGCTAATCTAAAAGACAAGTATTACGGGTAAGACTTAGGTGAATAAGTACCACCTTTTTCTATCATTATGGATTTTTTTATTTTATACACATTTTGTAAAATTTATTTTATACACTCTAGCTATTTAAATCTTAAATTTTAAATTTTAAAATACTATCTCGTTGATTAAATTCAATAATAAAAAATATTATTCTTCATAGAAGTTCCATATCTTGTATTTACCCAAATTTTTTTTATAATAATCATCTAAAAGTTAATTACATTATACGTTCCAATATAATAGTCATTTATTTTGAATCCTAAATAATACATATAATATTAAGAGTTAATTACATTATACTTTCCCATATAATATTCATTTATTTTAAATTAGTTTTTAAGTTTTTGAATATTATAATTTAATCTCCAAACTATAAATTTTATTTTAAATTAGTTCTCAAACTTTTTAACATTATAATTTCATCTTTAAACTGTGGCCCTCATTCTAAATTAACTAAATTGGTTAAACTATGATTGAAACTAATTACATATTTAGATAGATTTTGGATAAAATTGAAAAATACTATAGTTTGGAAAATAATTTAGAATGTGAATCATAATTTGAGGATGGAATTGAAACATCCAAAAGTTTAAGGACTAATCTAGTGAGAGTCATAGTTAAATATACATTAAAAATAAGAAAGTCATTTTTTATATAATTGTAAGCGTTTAATATGAATTTGTTGTTATTTCTCAAAATCTTGAATTCTTATATAAGTCTTTACTGTCAATGTATTAAAAGTATTTGAACATATATTATATTATACTATACTTATCACATATTAATATAAAAAATATTTTTATCATATTATATATAAAAAGTAGTATGTAAAAAAAGTAAAATTAATTACTGACAAATAGGAAATTTAAGTATTCAACCACCCAAAAGATGCGTCCAAGTTGTTTTTTCTCCACAAATTTTGTAATGCAATCACCGCCTGAACTATCTCTATAACAAACCCAATGACATACCTTTCCACTGTATATAGCAATCAATCAATGATTATTTGCAAAAGAAACGAATATCCCAATTTTCCTTCCATCTCCTATTTCCATATACGACCCAATTTCCCTTTTTTATTCCATTTTCTTCATAACTTTTCTCATCGATCTTTGAGTGTTTTTTATCACAAGGAGATTTCAAGCTAATGGGATTTGGGACGATTTTCAATCGAAAGAAGAAGCGAGGTTCTACGAATTCAGCTGCTTCTTCACCGCATGTTCCATCAAAGGAATCGTTGTTCATTCAATCCCCGAAGCGATCTTCCTTAGGAAATTTCACCCAGACCCAACTCCAAGAAATCGAAGAAGTGTTTAAAAAGTTTGACGTCAACGGTGACGGCAAGATCTCGGCGTCGGAGCTCGGTTCCATCTTGAAATCACTCGGCCAACGGCCCTCCGACGAGGAACTCGACGACATGATCAAGGAATTCGACGCCGACGGCGATGGGTTCATCGATTTCCACGAGTTCATCGAGCTGAACACCAAAGGGATCGACTACGAAGAGGTTCTGGAGAACCTGAAGGACGCTTTCTCCGTCTATGACATCGACGGTGACGGTTCGATTTCGGCCGAGGAACTCCACGAAGTGCTTCAAGGCCTCGGGGATGAGTGTTCGATCGCCGAGTGTAGGAGGATGATAAGCGGGGTGGATAATGACGGGAATGGGATGATTGATTTCGAGGAGTTTAAGGTAATGATGATGGCCGGGGCCACTTTTGGTTCCATTGAATCCGATAAGAGAAATGTTGCTGTCTAAATCAATTCATCATTGGTTTTTCTCTCTGGTAATTTTCCTGGATTTATCTGATTAACTGGTTACAAGCAGCAGCTTGTTTATTACTTAATTATGATCTTATGGAGATTTGTGTATATTTTGAACTCTTTTCAATGGAATTTAATGAACATTATACGGTAAATTCATTTTTGCCCAGAAATTCTTGTTGTGTAGGTATATTGTAAATTCGATTCAACCATGAAGTTCTCGTTCAGGGCATTCCTGGTTTGCATGGATGAAAAGCTTCCGGATGGAACCCACAGTGATTCCCAATGATTGTTCCTCTCATTGATATGTGAGCCATAGCTTCAATCAAATGCCCCATTGCTAATAATGGTAAGTTCATGTCGATGACTGTTCGATGAAATGCCTAGGCGACCCGTGTGTGTTTTTTCTTGCGCATCTCCTTTTAAGTTTTACCTCATATCGGGTCGTAGCTGAAAGGGAGATCAAACAAAATGAGCCTACACTTCTCAATTATTAGGGTTACCTCTTAACTGTACCAAAATAAAAAAAAAAGATAAAAAAATCAACTGAGTCCTCGAAATAATGACGATAAATAAGCGGAGACATATCATCTTACAGGAGCTCTCTTTGCCCCATCAATTTTAATTACAAGTTTGGGCGATCTAAGATGATCTTCCTTAGTGGATGAGTTAATTGATTATTTAATATAATATGAAATTTTAGTTAAGTGTAAATTAATTCGAATGATTTTTTTGTCTAATTAAAAAGCAGATTCCTTCTTTTGCTCCTCAGCCTATAGAGTATTAACAGCCGTTTTATATTGTTGTTCTTCTCCTAAAGGCATGTTCTTACGCGTTACTCACCCGTCCGTCACTGAAAATACCATTCTTCATCCGACTTACATGTGTTAAGCATGTCACTTGTGTTCTTCTTGAGTCAAGATCGAACTCATCATGAGATTCATAGTTGCATTACTTGTAGCTTCCTTTCGTAGGTAAAGCCAGTTCGAAATTATCTTTCATTCCAACGAATAACTTGCATCCATACGTCCATACTCGTTCGGAGTTAAAAATATAACCATCCCTACCCCTCACGTCAATTTGACGATTCTCTTATCTATTCTTATTCGACGATGACATAAAAAGTAAGGCAAAAAAATCATATCAAATATAGGGATAATCAGGCTCCAACTGATGACTTCCACCAGGCGAAGGTAACACAACATATAATCCTAACTCAGCAATAAGACCAAATGAGAATAGAAATAAGGAAAAGACAAGTAGAAGAGAAGCGCATAAAGAGTTGGTTGAGAGGGGAGAAGGAGAAGCTAGCACGATCAAAGGTGTTAGGATTGTAAACTATAATCGAAGGCATCGACCACTCGTGCACGAAAAGAACAGCAGACAAGAACAAGGAACTCTACTTCTACTCCCACAAAAGAGAGAGCAGAGTAATCAACTCTAGTGAAAAGAAGCCGACAGCAACAACCACTAGAAAGACGGCATTCATATCTCGAACATTATGAAGGATGCTTATTTTCTGCTTTAAGAGTTGTACCATCAAACGGCATGGAATCAGTGCCGTGACCATCACTCATTATAGTTGTCAGCAGACATTCTCACGAAGAGGCTGAAGTTTGTGTTATCCAAGGAGACCAACACTGCTTTAAGGCTAAGTTATTGTCCTATGGAAACTACATTTTGCTGCTGCTTTGCCACTTTTCCTGGTTTTTTGTAATCTCCGAGGGTATCATCCCAGGCCATACAAATTTTATGTTGAAATCAAACTTGATTTCTTAATCTAGGCAAAGAGTAGAATTGATGATGCAACAATCTTCTAGAAAACATATGACTTGGCAACAAATGAATGAAGTGCTTATCCATTAAGTACTTTAATTAAGCAATTTGAAAAGTGGAAACAATGTGATGATTTTGCAAAGCAGCAATGTAAACATGTGGCGAAAAGAGAAGCAGTTTTTGAAAGCTAGGTCAGCAGCAAAACACTTGGAAATTGAAAGCTAATTAACGTGTGGAGGCAGCAGCAAATTCCTTTACAGCAAGCAAAGGGTCTGGCGGCTATTGACGAAGTAAATTAGTCGATTTATGTATACTATAAATATACCTGATTAGATTAGCAATATAATTATATACGAGTGAAAAAAAAATTGAAAAATAGGTTGCGAAGCTTAGCAAAGATTTTGATAGATAGGTTGTATTTGTAAATTATTCGTAGTTAATATTTGTATTATATTTGTACTTTGGTTTGTATTAATAATAACGTGTGAATTATAAATTTCTGAGTGTCCACATACGCTTTCAACATTTTATATATCATCTCCTATTGATTCAAGTAGTTTTTAACTTTTCACGTCTACATCAACTCATTGAATGACTTCAACGAGTAAAAGCGGTGTTATTCTTTTTTAAGACATTGAGTTCGAATAGCTATATCTATAAGGTGTTTTGTGATCGCTATATAAATTAGTAAACTCGTTTCATCGGTTTCTATCACTTTGTCAATTTAGATATTTTTGAAAATATTTTTAAGGTGGATGAACATAATTACAAAAAAATCCATCATTTTTGGGTTTAGATTCTTTCTCGGATTTATGTGATGTTTGAGCATTATTTTAAGAAGACAAATAAGATATCTTAAAATTAATCTCCTTATATGATCATTTGAAGAGATTAAAGTAATAGCACATCAAACTTGTATATGTATTTTCGTCAATTTAAGTGAATTTAATGAGAAATCAATTTTAAAAGAAAAGAGGTGAAATACAAACTTTTTAATATTAATGTAGCCGCAAATGACAATCAATGACGGATGATGATTGATCACGGATGGTAGTTAGAAAATTCTACCTAAAATTAAAACATTTTAAAGTTTAATAAAAAAACGATATACAAACTAAAGTTAGCGGAAAGAAAAAAACATGTCATAATATTATTAATGACTAACAACTTAACGTTATAATTGAAATCAAAATCAAAATTTAAAAATATACTTCAATTAGTTTGAAATTTAATTGTAAAATTAAAAAAAAAATTAATTGTATTCAGAATAGTTTACCCTTAAATATTTATAAAATACATGTTTATATATGCCTAAATATATAGTAATATACAGTGGGAGCTCAGCTGCATTCCATAAACAGAGGGAGCTCAGGTGGTTTTAATGTTTAATCCAACCAAGAACAACTTCAAAAGTTATTAACAGAGGAGCAAAGAAACAGAGAAGGAAGACAGTGTTGTTCTCCCACAACAGAGAGACCAAAGTTCCAGAAAACAAAACACTCTTAACCCTAAAAACCTGTCCGTGGCCATGAAAATAATCTATCTTCTCTTTCTTTCTTTTTCTCAACAAGCTTCGTCCCATATGGAAGAGTGTTTCTCTTAATTCCCGACAGAGATGGGCCTGTCGACTAACCCCAGAGGCGAACGGGACCTTTGCCTGGTGATCTCCCGAAGCACTCGTCTCATGTCAGCTTGCTGTAAAGATGGGTGCTTGATCTTCTCAAACTCTCGTTTTATCTTCATCACTTGGCTATGAATCGGAACACCTTCAATATATCCATCTTCCTCTGTTTTAGCTGTTTTGTTGAAGATTGTGTTTTCATGGCAGCAGTTGCTCATCTTCGTCTGTTTTAGAATGCTAATGGCTTCACGCCTAAGGCCTTGTATACCTGCTTTCTTTTTAGAGTTCGAATGTTATATATAATACTTGAGAATGACATGGTTTCTTCATGAATAGCGAGCAAAAGGAAGCTTGTTGGGTCCACAATCTCCATCTAAATCACTGAATTAATTTGGACAAACACACGAATTTTCCCCGAGCCACGACACTGCTGTCTTGTCCTACGAAATTGCCTACACCAATTAATCTTCCATGTGGCGTTCACTCAATATTTGACGAAAACCACTCCATGAGGGGAGTTTTCGCATTTATCTTTGTCAAGTCTTTATTCAAAATTTAATTTCATGTTAATATCTTAAAATCTTTTAGTTTAATATATTCATTTATATATTTCATTGATAGAAAAATGAATTTGTGACAATTATGGATATATTTTCTTTAATTTTAGTGGAAAATCTTAATCGATAGAATAAATAGATTAAAGAAGATTATGAATAATGATAGGTCGAGATAGAGATTCACCTCGTATTAGTCTTACATGATAACTTATATTGACCTTTTATGTTTATACTAGGCCTAAAATCACATAGACTATATATATGTTAGCAGTTTAAATAGATCTAACTGTTAGATATCAAATTTTAAGATCATGTGAATTTATCAACGATCTTATCATAAGATTATAATTCTCTTAAAGACATAAGTTTACGAAAACTTAATTTTTTTTTAAAGAATCGTAACTCTTTGAAAGACATAGTCTTCGAAGACTTTAAAAACTTCGAAAGAGAGGTAGCGAAGATGTTTGTGGAGAAGATCTGACAGAAGTATAAGGTAAATGTTTATTAATTTGATTTTTCCTTGACTCAAAAGAAAAGCAAAGCAATTTTGTTTTGGTTGGTACTCTGAAAACTGATTGGCTAACATTTGGTTGATATTTACAAACATGCGTATTATTAAATAGATATATATTTATTATTCAAATTAATTTTACATTAATCCAACAAATAATTTTAGTGGTTAAAAATGTTAATCAAATTGAAGATTTGTATAGATGGCGCACGTTAACGGTTTTCTCTGTGTGCAAGTTAATAGGGTTAATGGGATCTGAGTTTTCCGTTGTTATTCTGGTGGGTCAAATAAAAAGAATTAACTTGAGTGAGAGTTTGATTGTATGTAAATCTTGTGTGGACTATAGTCTTATATTGTATGCATCTCGTAAATTGGAAATCTTGGGTTAATTGCAAACAAAGGGATGATCCAAATGAATGGTCATGTGACTCACATTGACGAATCGGGCAAAGAATTTCAAGTTATTCGAATAACAAGATTTATTAATGTCATGACAATTTTTTTTATGATTTTTACTAAATAAATCACATTAAAATAAGTTAATTAAAGTATTGATCCTCATAAGTTATTGTGGTCTTGAAATATTAGACTAAAAACCCGAAGCCAATAGACAAAGAAGATGACAACCACATGGAGTAGCTAAATGGAAAAAAAAACTGACTGCTAAATTATTAATTAATTAATTAATTA